TTACAAAAGGTGTACTCGGAAACTATCATAACATAGCTATGGAAACCACCATGTTTGAATAGGTAAATCATCGAAGTAAATGAATCTAAATGGGCCATCTATACTATACTATAGCCATGTTAGTTTATTGGAGGGTATACCAACTGAATGCTTTCCAGTCAATCCCAGCTTCATCGTTGGGCCAGGCTGATGAGTGGCAGAGCGTCACTTGTGATACGGCGACCTCACGCAGTAGCACCAGCTGTGGCAACTCGGCAGTGCCACAACTTCCGAGGATAGAATGGGGTCTACCCGGCCTGGTAAACTAGCACTTTGCTATTCCCATATGCTCAATGTATATGGTATATTTACCTACAAAACTGGGTGTTTTTTGGGGCAAATGTTGGTAAATATTCCAGCACCATGGAGCATATGGGATTGAAAATGACCATTTATAGCGGCACACTGAAACTTAGAATGCGATTTTGGAAACAGCGCGCTGCAAAAAAAAGCTGGCAATTTCATCAAAACGATGCCAGGGACTTTTTTCCCGAGGGCGTCTGAGCGCAGGGTTCTTCCAATAGTGGAGGTCTGTATCTCATCTTCTCATCTCTCACACCTTCTCATCTTCACATCTTCTCTCACACCTTCTCATCTTCACATCTTCTCTCACACCTTCTCATCTTCACATCTTCTCTCACACCTTCTCATCTTCACATCTTCTCTCCCCCCTTCTCATCTTCACATCTTCTCTCACACCTTCTCATCTTCACATCTTCTCTCACACCTTCTCATCTTCACATCTTCTCTCCCACCTTCTCATCTTCACATCTTCTCTCACACCTTCTCATCTTCACATCTTCTCTCCCACCTTCTCATCTTCACATCTTCTCTCCCACCTTCTCATCTTCACATCTTCTCTCACACCTTCTCATCTTCACATCTTCTCTCACACCCTCTCATCTTCACATCTTCTCTCACACCTTCTCATCTTCACATCTTCTCTCACACCTTCTCATCTTCACATCTTCTCTCACACCTTCTCATCTTCACATCTTCTCTCACACCTTCTCATCTTCACACCCTTCTCTCACACCTTCTCATCTTCACATCTTCTCTCACACCTTCTCATCTTCACATCTTCTCTCACACCTTCTCATCTTCACACCTTCTCTCACACCTTCTCTCACACCTTCTCATCTTCACATCTTCTCTCTCTCTCACTCTCTCTCCTTTCTCTCTCTCCTTTCTCTCTCCTTTTTCTCTCTCTCGCCTTCTGTATCTTTCTCTCTTTATCTTTCTCTCTTTAGGCCGAGGGTGGTACCGGCGGTGAGTCACGAAACGTCAACCCTTTCGCACGAAATGATGGCGGCAAAAACTGAGGTAAAATTGCGATTTGACTTGTGCCGGAGCAACCCTTTCGCACGAAATGAGGGTCGATCGGCAAAAACTGAGGTAAAATTGCGATTTGACTTGCCCCGGAGCAACCTTTTCGCACGAAATGAGGGTCGATCGGCAAAAACTGAGGTAAAATTGCGATTTTTCGTGTGCCGGAAATGAGGGTCGATCGTCAAAAACTGAGGAAAAATTGCATTTTTACTTGTGCCGGAGCAACCCTTTCGCACGAAATGAGGGTCGATCGTCAAAAACTGAGGTAAAATTGCGATTTTTCTTGTGCCGGAGCAACCCTTTCGCACGAAATGAGGGTCGATCGTCAAAAACTGAGGAAAAAGTGCGTTTTTACTTGTGCCGGAGCAACCCTTTCGCACGAAATGCGGGTCGATCGGCAAAAACTGAGGAAAAATTGCGATTTTTCGTCTGCCGGAGCAACCCTTTCGCACGAAATGAGGGTCGATCGGCAAAAACTGTGGTAAAATTGCGATGTTTCGTGTGCCGGACTTGTCTGTGTGTAAAAGCGTCTGTGTGTAAGAGTCTCTGTGTGTAAAAGTGTTTGTGTGTAAAAGTGTTTGTGTGTAAAAGTGTTAGTGTGTAAAAGCTTCTGTGTGTAAAAGCTTCTGTGTGTAAAAGCGTCTGTGTGTAAAAGACTGTGTGCACAAGCGTCTGTGTGTAAAAGCGTCTGTGTGTCAAAGCTTCTGTGTGTAAAAGCGTCTGTGTGTAAAAGCGTCTGTGTGTCGGAGCGTCTGTGTGTAAAAGTCTCTGTGTTTGAAAGTGTTTGTGTAAAAGGGTCTGTGTGTAAAAGCGTCTATGTGTAAAAGAGTCTGTGTGTGAAAGCTTCTGTGTGTAAAGTAAAAGCGTCTGTGTGTAAAGTAAAAGCGTCTGTGTGTAAAAGCGTCTGTGTGTAAAAGCGTCTGTGTGTAAAAGCGTCTGTGTGTAAAAGGCTCTGTGTGTAAAAGCGTCTGTGTGTAAAAGCGTCTGTGTGTAAAAGAGCCTATGTGTAAAACGCGTTTGTGTGTAAAAGCGTCTGTGTGTAAAAGCGTCTGTGGGAAAAACGTCTGTGTGTAAAAGCTTCTGTGTGTAAAAGCCTCTGTGTGTAAAAGCGTCTGTGTGTAAAAGCGTCTGTGTGTAAAAGTGTTTGTGTGTAAAAGTGTTTGTGTGCAAAATCGTCTGTGTGTAAAAGAGCCTATGTGTAAAAAGCGTTTGTGTGTAAAAGCGTCTGTGTGTAAAAGCGTCTGTGTGTAAAAGCGTCTGTGTGTAAAAGCGTCTGTGTGTACAAGCTTCTGTGTGTCAAAGCGTCTGTGTGTGTAAAAGTCTCTGTGTGTAAAAAGCGTCTGTGTGTAAAAGCGTCTGTGTGTAAAAGCGTCTGTGTGTAAAAGTGTTTGTGTAAAAGTGTTTGTGTGTAAAAGCGTCTGTGTGTAAAAGCTTCTGTGTGTAAAAGCGTCTGTGTGTGTGTAAAAGTCTCTGTGTGTAAAAGCGTCTGTGTGTAAAAGCGTCTGTGTGTAAAAGCGTCTGTGTGTAAAAGTCTCTGTGTGCAAAAGCGTCTGTCTGTAAAAAGTTCTGTGTATGAAAAACTTTACAAAAATACGATGCAAACTATTGTCTTGTACTAGTCATATATTGTCTTATGATACTACTCTTCTCGTCTGCCTATAATACATCTTTAATATATTATCTTGTAATATAGTGTCTCCATACTAACAACAGAAGACTCTGCTCCTCTACGCTCTCGGGCCATCCGTCGTCTAGTTCGCCCCTAAGTTTCTGGTCAGCATTCTAAGTTTCAGTGTGTCGCTATAAAATTGATTTACCTATTGAACATACGTACTGCTTTTCCATAGTCATGTTAGTTTACCAGAGGGTAAACTATGGCAAACCATAAAAAAATGATGATCAATGCTGATCAATAATGATCCGGTTGGTGGTTTCAAGGATATTTGTTTTCAAAATATATTATTTCTTTTGCGGGTGAACTTGGAGTTATCAATGGTTAATTGTAATATGCAAGAGCCCTAGAATTATAACTTCCATAAGATGGAATGGAGACGCTTTACCTATGATCTCAGTTCAATGGAATTGCATGCTTTTGTTTTGAGATTTTTGAGCTATTTGAGCTATTTCGTCTGGGGATTTTGGATGGTAAGAAAAAAGGATCGAAAACAAACATGGAACTGTAACTAATGGAAAACAAACATGGTTTTCTGATGTTTTTGTGGTTTCTGAAGTCACGGCGGATCCCCATTTTACCAAGGTTTCAATGCAAGAATGGTCTAAGGACTTGGATGACCCCAATGACTTGAGAAACCTCCAAATGTTATCCGAAACCAAACCTTAGTTACTTCAATAATCATTGCATATCATTGCTATTGAGAGTTAAGTGTAGAAACTGTGTATAGATTTAGGAACTCCGACTGTGAACAAAAACGTGATCGGTCCCCATGTCTGGACATTTTCGGACTGGTTGAAGGCGCCAGCAGCGGTTTCGATGTATCGACCAGCTGATGCCGAATACGGCTTACCAGGCGTGGTGAACTCTTTGGGATACCGGTCGCATTGAGGAAATAAGCAATGTATATGGTATACCAATGGGAAAATAATTGGTTATTTCAATATGGAAATGGTAATAAGAAAATCCATGTTTTTTTTGGAATTGGCTATTATTCCATTTAGGAAGTAGCCATGTATAATGTATCTAAATTATATATGGTATATGATTATTCGATATGTAAAATGTATATGGTATACCAACCCATATGCTCCATGTATAGTATATTTACCTACAAAACTGGTCCATTTGTGGGGTAGACGTAGGTAAATATTCCAGCACCATGGAGCATATGGGCAATGGGTATACCCCAAATTCTTATTTCAATATGGAAAATAATGATTCACCAATGGAATGGGCTACTCTATTGACACTTGTTGGCTTTTGCCAGATCAGTCATCGTCGGAGAATAGGGGTTATAAACCAACAAACATAACTAGGGGGAACATCGTCCCAACTATTGAACATACATATGCTTGATGGGTTTTGCTGCGTTTCCACTTGTTTTTGTTTCCCTGTTCTATGTTTGTTGGTTCAAAGTCAAAGCATGTCTATGGATTGAACCAATAAATCCTTCTTACTGGATCAGGCCTTCATGTTAAGCTTGCCCGTTTGTTTTTTGACTGGATCGATTAGACCCTTATTTTGCCAGTCGTGTCTTTCCGCTTCAACCCCATATTCTGCTTCATTCTATATGGTTTATCATTTAACTATGTAATGATATCTAGAATATCTAGAATATGCTATATTTGTCATTTCACTATATATTATATATTGCTTTGTATATTTCCAGCTTTTGAGTTGACTAGATTATCTATGATTATCTTAGTCCTTTTTCGACAACGTGTCTTCTGGACCAAATTTTCCGATCTCCCAGAAATGATGGGATTATCTGCAGGAAATCCGATAGATGGAATTGCAAAAGCACAGAAAAAACCATGAATTTCTGAAGATCTTTGCTTTATCCAATCCATTCAATTCATCATTGCTTACCCCATGTTTGATGCTTAAATCATGTGAAAAATCACCACATATTTCTTGCTGGTTTCACCAAAATTTCTCGCACCCGGGCCCCTGAACGAACAGGTGCGATTGGCGGAAATTTGCCTCAACAACGACTTGGATCCGGACTACACCGTGCAGGGTCCCAGCGAGATCCGGCCATATTAATCATCCGGGCCGTGTGCTGGAAAGCGCACCGGGTCGTTGTATTGCTTGGTGGTTTCTGTTGATACATTTAGCTGGAGGTATCCCAGAGATATACCATATAATATATATATATATATATACATCATACATCCATATATATATATATATAACTTACTAACTCGGATGCATCCCCAAGTCAAAAATGGAGTTTTGTTTATGCGAAGACGATCTAGAAATGATATGAAGTGCTGGGATTGTCCATTCTGCGCCATGTTTGATTAAAGGTATATAATACAAATGGATTTGTCTGGAGTCTGGAAAAAAACATCGGGTTGGTCTGAACATGGGGCAAACCCCCATTGTTCCCGAGAGCGTCTGAGCGCAGGGTTCTTCCAATAGTGGGGGTCTGTATCTCACCTTCTCATCTTCACACCTTCTCATCTTCACATCTGCTCATCTTCACATCTGCTCATCTTCACATCTTCTCTCACATCTGCTCATCTTCACATCTGCTCTTCTTCATATCTTCTCTCACATCTTCTCTCATCTGCTCATCTTTCTTCATATCTTCTCTCACATCTTCTCTCACATTTTCTCTAACATCTTCTCTCACATCTGCTCATCTTCACATCTTCTCTCACATCTTCTCTCACATCTCTCACATCTGCTCATCTTCACATCTTCTCTCACATCTGCTCATCTTCACATCTGCTCATCTTCACATCTTCTCTCACATCTGCTCATCTTCACATCTGCTCATCTTCACATCTGCTCATCTTCATATCTTCTCTCACATCTTCTCTCACATCTTCTCTCATCTGCTCATCTTTCTTCATCTTCTCTCACATCTTCTCTCACATCTGCTCATCTTCACATCTGCTCATCACATTTGCTCATCTTCACATCTTCTCTCACATCTGCTCATCTTCACATCTGCTCATCTTCACACCTTCTCTCACATCTTCTCACCTTCACATTTTCTCTCCTTTCTCTCTCCTTTCTCTCTCCTTTTTCTCTCTCTCGCCTTCTTTATCTTTCTCTCTTTAGGCCGAGGGTGCATGGTGCCGGCGGCGAGTCACGAAACGTCAACCCTTTCGCACGAAATGAGGGTCGATCGCAAAAATTGAGGAAAAATTGCGTTTTTACTTGTGCCGGAGCAACCCTTTCGCACGAAATGAGGGTCGATCGTCAAAAACTGAGGAAAAAGTGCGTTTTTACTTGTGCCGGAGCAACCCTTTCGCACGAAATGAGGGTCGATCGGCAAAAACTGAGGTAAAATTGCGATTTTACTTGTGCTAAAACAACCTTTTCGCACGAAATGAGGGTCGATCGTCAAAAACTGAGGAAAAATTGCGATCTTACCTGTGCCGGAGCAACCCTTTCGCACGAAATGAGGGTCGATCGGCAAAAACTGAGGTAAAATTGCGATTTTACCTGTGCCGGAGCAACCCTTTCGCACGAAATGAGGGTCGATCGGCAAAAACTGAGGTAAAAGTGCGACTTTTCGTGTGCCGGAGCAACCCTTTCGCACGAAATGCGGGTCGATCGGCAAAACCTGAAGTAAAATTGCGATGTTTCGTGTGCCGGACTTGTCTGTGTGTAAAAGCGTCTGTGTGTAAGAGTCTCTGTGTGTAAAAGTGTTTGTGTGTACAAGTGCATCTGTGTAAAAGTGTTGTGTGTAAAACCTTCTGTGTGTAAAAGTCTTTGTGTGTAAACGGGTTTGTGTGTACGAGTGTTTCAGTGTAAAGATGTTGGTGTGTATGAGTGATTGTATGTAAAATTCCATCTGTTTAAACGCGATTGTGTGTAAAAGCTTCTGTGTGAAACGTGTTTGTGTGTTGGAGTGTTTCGGTGTAAAGATGTTTGTGTGTAAAAGTGTTTGTGTGTACAAGTGCATCTGAGTAAAAGCAATTGTGTGTCAAAGCTTTTGTGTGTAAAAGTGTCTCTTTGTAAAAGGGTTTGTGTGTAAGAGTGTTTCTGTGTAAAGATGTTTGTGTGTAAAAGTGTTTCCGTGTAGAAGTGCATCTGTGTAAAAGTGTCTGTGTCTAAAAGTGTCTGTGTGTAAAAGTGTCTGTGTAGAAGCGTCTGTGTGTAAAAGCTTCTGTATGTAAAAGCTTCTGTATGTAAAAGCTTCTGTCTGTAAAAGCTTCTGTGTGTAAAAGCTTCTGTGGGTAAAAGCTTTGTGTGTAAAAGCGTCTGTGTAAAAGCGTCTGTGTGTAAAAGTGTTTGCGATGCAAACTAGTGTCTTGCACTTCTCACTATTTTGTCTTGATACTCCTCTTCTCGACTGCCTATAACACAGCTTTCATATACCGTTTCTAAAATTGCATCTCCATACTAACAAGAGAAGACCCTGCTCCTCTACGCTCTCGGGCCATCCGTCGTCTAGTTTTCTTTTTTTAATCGTAAGGTGATGATCATCCAGTGTTGATCTTTGTTACCCTCTGGTAATTTAACGTAGCTATTGAACATGGCACATTTAGTTCGTGGATTTACCCATTGAACATGGTGGATCTTTCCATCGTTTTTTGGGACTGTTTACCAGGCCGGGTAATCATTAACAACAACTATTGATTCTAGGTCAATGGTCATTAACCACTATTAACCAACTATAAATCCTCATGGCTTTCTTTATCTTTGTGGCGTTCAGGTCTCCGCGGCGGTGACCCTTCCCAGCGCCGCGGAGAGCCCAAGTGAGTTGTCCATGGAACTCAGCGGCGACTCGGTGAAGTCGATGTGTTGAAAGCTGGATTTCGCAGCTTGAGCTCCGGGGCAACGTGAACTTCATCAATGACATTGGGTTTACCATGTCATTTAGTATGTGTAATGGTAAACTATGATAACTGTTGGTGGTTTCAAACATGGCTGTTTTTTTCCATTTCATATATGGGATGTCATCCGAAACCCATTGACGAACTCTATCATTTTTCAAGATGGTTAAAGCCACCAACCAGTGATTTATTATTTGTAATGGTAAACTCAATCAATGTCATTTTTTGGGGGGTCATCAATGACATGGTAAAGCCAATAAGAACAATCGATCCACCATATTGGGAATGGTTCCGGATTTGTTTCACTATGTTTCACCATCACATTCTATGAACATTTGAAGAAATATATCCACACATCATAGATCTTCATTATTTCATATTCTAAAAATGATAGTTTTCATGTGGGAAACCCGAAATGGGGGTATCCCTAAATCATCCATTTTATATAATTGGATTTTCTGATTTCCATTATAAACCAACCATTTTGAAAATAAACCTACCATTTGGGGATGGTTTAGGGTAGCTTGACCTCGGGATTCCAAGTCATCGGCCTTGGTGGCCATCCCCTTTGTGATCAAGTTTGGCCTTATGTGTACATAGTGGTATGTTATGTTCTTAATAGACATATTGTATCAACATATACAAAACATGTGTATATATAAATATATAATTATATATATATATACAACATAAGCTGTATTGTTTAGTGTATATATATATATGCTAGTATTGATCGATATTCGGATGCTATGGCATGTTACTTTTGTTGTTGCTATTTTTTTATCGCCATTGTCTTGATATGATAACCATTACTTCCATGATTGATCCAATTGATCCAGCAATATACGTAGAGTGTTCAGCGCCATCAGCGAATATGGGCAAATGGCACTTTAGATGATGGTAAGCGAATCATCCCAATATGACCTTGAATTTTCCGTTGCTGAAGTATCACAATTTAGGAATCAATCACGGTAATTTGATGTAATTTGTCTGATTATGTGACATTTTGGCATGATATGATGTACATGACCTGCACGTCTTATTCAGCGAACCATTTTTTCCACAGACGATGCCAGCAAATTGCCCTGGTTACAAAGGTCATCGATAGAGCCACAGCAAACTGGGGCCAACCCTGGAGCTTTATGAAAAGATGTCAGATGTAATTGTTCATCCATTCGAAAAACGAGATTTCAGCATCAACACTTTACTTTCCAACCTTTTTTGGGGGGATGTTTTTTCGGATTCCAGTTGTTTGGAGTTGGTGTTTCTGCCGCTCTCGCAGCCAGTTGGCTTGAAACAAGAACTTTACCTCAATCTCTACCGCGACCGGCCACCTGCCCCGGTCCAAATGAATGGAGTTCTGAATCTCGCAATCCTGTGGGTGACCAATGCTGCAGTAACTGGAAGACACGCCGTGGTTGCCACTTGGCTCAGTGTTTGATGCGTTGTCCGATTTCTGACTGGTGCTTTGGCATTGATGTTTTCGTCCAGGCTTGCTCCAACCCGGTCCAACCCATTATAGGTGAATGATATTGAATGATTAGATTATGTTGCCAGAAAAGAAGAAAACCATATGATTTTACTGATTTTAGCTCGTGAGTGTACACGTTTGCACCTAGCCCTTGTGATGTATTTGGGGTGTTGGGGCCATGATGTTTTTGTTATATCTGTAGCTTGCCCTGTTCCATACCTGCTTGAGATGATAGTCCCTAGTTGACCATTGCATCTATTTTATATGTATATATATATATGTGTGTGTGTGTGCGCGTGCCATATCTCAATGTATTAATTATACTGAAATATATATATAATTAACTTTATATCAATAACTATATATAATTATACATAATGATATATATAGCTATGTATGTAATTACATATATATATATATATATGAGTATATATATATATAATTTTATTTTTTACTATATTTTTAATTTTATATAATTATATATAACACTATATAATTATTTTTTATTATATATATAATTAAATATATATATATATATTTAATTATATTTACACACGATACAATCCACAAATATATCTATAGTCTATATACATACACATGCCAGGGGGTTAAAAAGAATATTTTTTCCCTCATAGTATGTGTGATTGTTGAAATTCATCAAAGAGCGGAAGAACACGCAGGTTTTGGTTTAAATTATGCGGCAGAATTTGTTGACAATCCCCATGTGTTTGACATTATTGTTCTGGTTGATTCTAGTAAATCTAGTATGTTGTCACCTTGTTCTTCATCGTTTGATCTATAACATCCCATATGCTACATGTATGGAATATGTACCTACATTTATCCCATAAATGCAAATGTAGGTAAATATAATATACTATACATGGAGCACATGAGCATTTATAACATTTTGTAACCGTTCGTGGCTCTAAAGGATTTGCCGATCTGTTGGACACTGATTTTCCCTGCCAGGGACGCTATCCAGAGTTCCCAGCCAGGCGATAGCTGGGGACCGTGGCACAATGACGATGAACTCCTTAAAAAAGATATGTCGAAACATAGATTCTAGTTTCGTCTAGTTTCAATTTTGGTGGCGGTTGCGAAAAAATGTGTACTATGAGTGAGACGTGATGCATGTAACAGTCAGTAACGGGTTTCTATATGGTAATCTAATGGGACAAAACTTGGAAGAACACAAGCAACTGGGTCTCTTAGCAATATCATCTGGTTGGTGGTTTGGAACATTTTTCCATATATTGGGAATAATAACCCCACCTGACTTTCATATGTTTCAAGATGGTTGAAACATGTTAAAACCACCAGGTCTTATCTAAAAGATGCTTTTGGAAAATGTTGGTTCTCACATCTGGGGTGACCTTTGGATCCGAGTTCCCTGGATCCGTGAAATTTCTGAATGCAGGAACTCTTTACCACTGAAGAAGGGACATTTTTCAATGTGTCTGCCACTCTCAAAAGCCGAAAAACATCATAGATCAACTGGATCAACATAGAATCGAAACTCGTTGGTGCTTATGCTTGGCGTTTCATCAAGCAAAAGCTTTTTTCTGGACTCTACCAGGGAAGCTAATCCATACTGAGATGATGAATTGCTGGTTTTCCATTCTACGATGATCCCGAAACGTGCCTTTTTGTTTTGGGCTGAGCCACCACCAGTCATTTCACCAAGCCCAAGGTTTTTTGGCAAAGATGTGGGGGAAAATCTCAGCAAAATTGAAGGCTCATGGGTAATCATCATTTACTGTATTTTTTTCAGCCATTTGAGGGTACCATCTGGTTATTTAACATTTTGCCATCGAAAATCACCATGTTTAATCGGTAAACCATCTATTCCAATGGGCCATCTATACCATGGCTATGTAACAAATAACCAGAGGGTATCCTGCGCTGCATTTGACACGGCCATTGAAGTCTGCTCTGCCAGCCTCGTCCCGTCAGACCGGCAAGACCTAGTGACATGCGGCAGAAACGGAGACTCGCACGTGGACGGTGGGTGCAGCATGACTGGTTGGTTTGAACTCGGCAATGGCCAGCAATGGCTGGAAGATTCCTTTCTTTTTCAATGGGGGTATGCATTAAATCTGGTTGGTTTGATGGTGTGTCCATCCCAGGATGATGCTCTCCATTGATGCGCATATGAATGTTTCAGGGTTGAAACGGTAGGAACCACCAGAAAAAGATGACAGGAAGCCACACAATCAGATTCTCAGAAGATGTGTCAGTAAGTTACGTAAGCCTCAAAGAGTATGGCTATAGGCTATAGGCATTTGTTTCAGCATGCGTAAGTGGGGGGGTTATCATCCGAACAGCTCGGTTCCGAGCACCGTTACAACAGCTCGGAGAACATGAGCTGCTGGTGGTTCCAAGGTGAGGACCCCCAGTTGTGTCGATTTATAGCCCATTTACCATAGTTGTATTCCACCTAAACCCAAACGTCAAGCAAATTAAAAGTCAACTTGGCCATTATAAATCAGCTAATATTAGGTATAAATCTCATTAATTATTCATTAATTGCTTGTCTAATTTGTTGGTTAAGTCAAATCATCATGTTCGGTTGTTTGGGGGCTCACCGTTTTGTTTATTCCAAGGATAGTGTGGATCAGCAGTATTTCGCTTCATCCACGTTGCCACTTGTCAAACAGATTACTCCTTGTACATCATACCTTGCTATATATCAGAGAATCTGCGGCCCATTCTGGTTTGAATATTGTGTAGACATATACATATACATATATATATATACATACTACATTATACATATTATATAATATTATACATACAGTTTTTGTCATATTATGTGATTGTGTGTATATATTTATATATAAATATACAACAACCACTAGCACCACCAGCATCAGCATCAGCATCATCATCATCGCCATCATCATCGTCGTCATCATCATCATCATCATCGCCATCACCATCATCATCATCATCATCATCGTCCATGTTTTGGAGTGTTTACATATGACCCACCCCAGCTTGTCACTGCTGAAAGAGGCAACTGTTTTCACCCGTTTTGTTATTGTCATGGGCACCTAGGCCTAGGCTCAGCACGAAATTCATTGCGACAGTATCTCCCAAGTTCCACTTGTTGGTGGTGTTCTTGATATGCATTACAATGGTTGCATAATGTTGCATAGGCAGCTGTCATCATCAAGTATCCACTTATATTTTCCAGGATGCACTTCCAAGCAGGTGTTCTTGATTCCACCGTTTCTGCCCAGTTGGTCTCATGGGATTTCAGTAAGCATGGGATGATCTGATTCCCAATAAAATGCCATAGCTTCTCAGGGTGATCGCTCACAAACCAGCCAACTTTTGCTGCTCAAACTTATTCTGCGCGGTTTTCAACGCCTTGTTCTTCGGGTTGAACCACCAGGAATTGCACGTTACCCTCTGGTAAACATACAAAAAACTATGGAAAATCACCATCTTTAATAGGTAAATCAGCGAA